TGTGGGTTCAAGTCCCACCTGGGTTGTCTTTGAGGGGTTTCATTTAAATTGGCTATGCAAGATATTTCAGTATGAAAAGTTCAAAGTGACACTATAGCCATGAGAATAAGCAAAGAACTGGCAATCTTCTGAAAGATTTTTTTGTTTAGTGTGAGCCAGACTGTCTGTGAATACCTCTGGCTCTGCCAGTAAAACGCCCAGTGTCCTAATGGATTATGGCATCAGCAACACTATAGCCTTAAGAATTAGCATAGAACTGGCAATTTTCTGAAAGCTCTGTCAGTTTAGCTTGCATCAGACTGTCTGTGAATGCTTCAGGGTTCATGAGAGAAAGGATCCAGTGGCCTAATGAATCAGCCTCCGGATTTGGTGATTGTGGGTTCGAGTCCCACCTGGGTCATCTTTGAGAGCTTCCATTTAAGTTGGCTGCACAAGATATTCCAGTATGATAAGTTCAAAGTGACACTATAGCCATGTGAATAAGCATAGAACTGGCAGTTTTCTGTCAGTTTAGCTTGCATAAGAAGAAGCAGTCGAGCAGCAGAAGAGGACAGCAGTTTGTAAGTGTTTTGTTTTGTTTTCTCATTAGATTTCAGCGCGGTTGTCATTGCTAGGAAACATTGTTTCACTTACTGTGTTTTACTGTGGTAAATACGTGCTCAATAGTGAAGTCTGGTTCGCGAACGAATCATTTGATTTAACCGGTTCTTCTTAGTGAATTGGTTGAACCCATAGACTGTAAAAAAAGATGGCCGACGCTCCTTCAATCTCTTCCATTGAAGAAAAGTGAAGCCGCCATTGTCCCAACAGGGTGCGGCCATATTGTGCTGATTTGGGACCGGAGTCTGTGCAGTAGAGAACTCGGGACCAGAGTCTGTGCAGTAGCGAGCGAAATGGAGCCGCGTCCCGCCCACACTCTCGCAGAGTCGATTGCAAGCACACGCCCCTGACCCCGTTTTAATTAGCCTGACTGCTCCAATTTTTGTCTGCTGAGAGGATTGTGTTAAAATAAGGTAAATACAACTCCAATATCCTCCTAGATTATGTATAGTAAGTGGATTATGGTTTCTGCGCTGATGACAACTAATTTATTTACTTTATATCTTCAAGACTTAAATCCTAGTATGCACATCACTGCCTGTTACTGTATTTGGGTGCAAAGTTGCAAAACATAATTGTAAACTTTTCAGATCATGATTATGACGTTTTAACTGACTGAAGTTATGATTACTGACTTTATATATTTGAATGTGTATTTTCATCCCAGCCCTGGACGATAGACTTGATATCATTACGTCATCGCGAATGACGTCATTACTTTAGGGCATAAAAGAACCGATTAACCGTTTTTTTGAACCGGTTCATTGCAACAAACTCTCCGAAAGAACCGGTTTGCGGAAAAGAACCGTACTTCCCATCACTAGTGCTCAAGTCGCGTTTGTTCTCGTGTGTATCGCGGGACTTTCCAGTTTCGGTTTGCTAAATAGTAAGGCGTGGCCAAAGCAAGCAAAAGTACTTATTTACCTGTTTGGAAGCACTTGTTAGAAGAAGCAGTCGAGCAGCAGAAGAGGACAGCAGTTTGTAAGTGTTTTGTCTTGTTTTCTCATTAGATTTCAGCGCGGTTGTCGTTGCTAAGAAACATTGTTTCACTTATTGTGTTTTACCGTGATAAATACGTACTCAAGTCGCGTTTGTTCTCGTGCGTATCGCGGGACTTTCCAGTTTCGGTTTGCTAAATAGTAAAGCATGGCCAGCTGACTTCAATAAGGAGTACTCAGGCAAGTATAAAACTGGTTAGTTCACCTCAGCCCTCGTGTGAAGACCGACGAGTGTAAAGACCATCGACTCTACCTGTGCGACTCCACTGAGCAAGGACACCGACAAGGCATTTGAGTATTGCTTTTCTCTCCTTTCTTTACTTTTTGTACAGCTTGTTCTCATATACTTGTTTAGGAAATTGTACTCACTATATGCTTTCAAATCTCTACCATTACTACTAACATTCGGAAAGCACGCACTGTGCATTGGATGCAGGCAAATTCTAATAATCTACGGTCTATGTCCTCTACTACTTTACTCTCTATTCCATTTAGTCTCTGGAACTGCCAGTCTGCTGTAAACAAAGCAGAATTTACTTCTTCTATTGCTACTCATTCCGGTCTCAACCTCATGGCCCTAACTGAAACTTGGATCAAACCCGAGGACACTGCTACGCCTTCAGCCCTCTCCACTAATTTCACTTTTTCCCCACACCCCTCGCGTGATTGGGAGGGGTGGAGGTACTGGTCTACTTATCTCAAATGAATGGAAATTTGATCTTCTACCATCTATTACAGGCAACAGTTCATTTGAATCACATGCAATTACTATTATCCACCCTCTTAAAATCCATTTTGTAGTTGTTTATCTTCCCCCAGGTCAACTGGGTAACTTCTTGGAGGAGTTGGATGTGTTACTATCCAACTTTCCTGAGGACGCTACTCCTCTGGTACTGCTTGGTGACTTCAACATCCACCTAGAAAAGCCCCAGGCTGCTGACTTCAACTCTCTGCTCGCATCTTTTGATCTCAAGCGAGTGTCTACTATGGCTACTCACAAATCAGGTAACCAACTGGACCTCGTCTACACACGCTATTGCACTGACAACACTTTAGTTACTCCATTACACACCTCAGACCACTTCCTCATCACTTCTAACCTCACACTAACTCCTGACAACACACGCTATTGCTCCACTGACAACACTTTAGTTAGTCCATTACACACCTCAGACCACTTCCTCATCACTTCTAACCTCACACTAACTTCTGACATAGCACACACTCCTCCGCAGGTCACCTTTCGGCGTAACCTACGCTCATTCTCTCCCTCTCACCTATCCCATATGGTTTCATCCTCACTTCCTTCACCCTCTCAGTTTTCAGCACAGGACACAAACAGTGCTACTGACACTCTCTGCTCCACTCTAACATCTTGCTTAGACAACTTTTGCCCCCTTTCATCCAGACCAGCACGTACTACCCCCTCTGCCCCCTGGCTGTCCGATGTTCTCCGTGAACATCGCTCTAGACTCAGGGCTGCAGAGAGGAAATGGCGCAAATAAAAAAACTCAACCGACCTTAGTGTGTATCAGTCACTCCTCTCTTCCTTCTCTGCAAATGTCTCCACTGCTAAAACTATATACTACCACAACAAACTTAACAACTGTTCTGACTCTCGCACAACTTTACAGAACTTTCTCTTCTCTTCTCTGTCCTACTCACCCTCCTCCATCATCAACTCTTACAGCTGATGACTGCAATATTCTTCATAAGTGTTCTTCATAAATAAAATAAGAAACATCAATAGAGAGAGTATAGTCGACTATGTGTCAAAAATTTGATTGATGAGGGTCATAAAAACCCCCCTCCCTCCTACCATAAATGGACACCTGTTTCTGTACACCCCCCACCCATCTAACCGGACATCTGTTAATCCACCCCAGAGATCCGAAGGAATTTATGATTGTTTGGGAATGTGTTTTTATATGGGGTTCGTTGAAACTATTCAAAACTATGTGCTTTAAACTTTAAATTGTGAAACGTGGTATGATTATTAAACGGGATAAGGGAAGTTTTTATTA